TTAATCTTTTTAAATATTTTTAAAATTGCTTTTATGTAAGCCGCCCGGAGTCCTCCGGGATTGGGCAGCATACAAATCTATTAAAATTACAGATTACCTTCTATTGCGCTTTGCACTTGAGCTTCCTCTTCCTGTGCAAGGATATGTATTCTATTGGCTGTTGTCAAGACTCCCACGGTGCCATATACAAATCCTAGGAGTTTGTCTGAGCTATGCTTGGTTGACGTTTGGGCTGATGCAACGAAGGGACTTTTGGGCCAATTCCTATTGTGGCTGAGGGCTAACCCTACCTTCGTTCAAACCTTGCTGCAGGGAGTAATGGATTACCAAATCTGTATTTCTAAATGCCTTAACTTAGTATCTGCTTGGGGGCAGGGAGCTGGGGCTCTGAGTTTCTGTCTCCCTTCAGACTTTTATTTGTCTTTTAGGGGAAATATTTTATCCTGCCTTTTTTAAAACATTTCTCAAAATTGTTTGTTCTTCTAGGAGAGGGGTGGGTGTTAACTTTCTACAATATAATTTGTAACCGAGGAGTGCTACCAAAAAATTCCATTGCTCTGAAGGCCATATCTTCATCCACCAGTGACGGACAGTCCATAAGACTCCCAGATACTATAGAATGCATCCCCTCTGCCAGTGGTGGGTTGCCAATTATTTTGCTACCAGTTCGGGTGCACTCCTACGCCCGCGCCAGTGGTGGATTCCGGGCGGTTCCAGAATGTTGGCTCGTTGGGCCCACCCGCCCGCCTGCCTTCCTTACCGCTTTTTGAGGGAAACGGGCTAATTGCGTATGCGCGGATGGCACCTGCGCAACCTCCACCAAGCAGCTGCGGCATTGCAGGGTGGTGACGCCCGGCCCCGTCGCAGCGTACCGGTTGCAACAGGTCCGGAACCCATCTCTGGCCCACGCACATGCGGGTAGACAGAGCCTCTCACCACCGCTGCTACCGGTTCGCCCGATCCGGGCCGAACCGGGAGCAACCCACCTCTGCCTTCTGCATAGAATAACCACCCTTGACAGAAAACCTGTCTCATTCACCGGGCACATATTCCTTTCCATTCTGCAGCAAAAACAGTGGAAGATAAAGCAGAATGGAAAAGGGAGCGAGGGAAGCACTAAAGTGCATTGTGAAGACAAAAGGAAAAAAAGGGAGGGGGACTATGGGATGTGGAAGAGGTAAGGAGAAGGGAGAAGCGGTGCGAGGAGGGGGAAAAATAAGCCTGATAAAAGAATTTAGAAGGTGAATTTGGCCAGGCAAAGAGATCCGGTTACGGAATCAACCATAGAGTGTTCAGTATTTTTGCAGCAAGTGCGCAGTCACTGGTGTTGCTCCTTCGTGCCTTTTCTTTCAGGGGCTGTGTTCTCACCAGCATCTTTCCGTCCCTCCCTCCCATGGACTTTGCATGTCAGAAGGTCACAAAAGGGCATCACAGGACCCCCGGATACTGCAACCGTCATAAATAGAAGCCAACTCAGTTTTAAAATGAAGCAATGTCCTCTATTTATGGAAGTCCGAGCTGAGTCGGAACTAGAGCAGAATCGTCATCTGAAATGCCCTATAATTTTCACCTTGCCTTCAGAAGAGAATATTTGTATTCTCAGGGTTGAGCTACGGGGTCCCTGNTTGAGTGGTTTCTTTCTTGGTTATTAAGTGAAGCAGCCCTGACACCCAGCTTTTCAACAACTTCAGGGCTAACCATGCACCTAGTCCAGCCCGAGTCCAATAAAGCCAACATTCTCCCCTGGGTCCCTGAGGAGGGCACCACTAGTTCCACAAGAATGGTTACAGGAGCCACAGATCGACTTACCAGGGTGTCATCATCATCGCTTTCACACTCACCCAAGCTGGTCAGAGTTCGAGGAGGGGCGAACTCTATGACCTCCATGCCTTTCAGTGCTGTCTCCTGGGTCCTTGGAGCTGGCTTCATTGCCTTCTTCCCAGGAGTTGTCATGGCACTGAGGTTGGGGTTGCTGGATCGGCATGCTGCAGCTTGGTACCCCTCTTTCTCACATCTGAAGCACATTGTGGACCTCGGTCTAGGTTTGGCAGCGATTTTTGTGGTCCTGGGGTATTCTTTACATGCAGGAGGGAAGAACTTGCCCCATCCCCCATCCTCCCCCCCCACCCCGGCATCAGTCCCGAGCGAGGTCGCTCTCCACTTCATCCGCCAACCCATACTATTGTTGTAGGGTGCGTGGGGTACCACATGAGATGCAGGTGTGGTAGATGTCATCATTGAGGCCATCTTTTGTTTCATTTATTTTATTTATGTAACATATAAAAATTAAATTTCCATCAAACAAAGTGTAGTCTGGGTACAATTGTTTTTTTAAGCAGTCATAATTCAAATATTTATGGTAGTATTCATCAAAATAACATTGATAATACATAACAATAATATTTAACATTATCTGCTTTAACAACTCTCC